GTGTGGTTTGGGCTTTGCTTCTGTGAAGATTGACAGCCTTGGAGACCCTGTGGGCAGTTCCACTCTGTCCTCTAGGGGCGCTGTGGGTCGGAATGGACTCCACGGCAGTGGGTGTGGTTTGGTCTTTGCTTCTGTGAAGATTACAGCCTTAGAGGCTTTTTGGGGGATCCTCTAGGGGAGCTGTGGGTCGGAACTAACCTGATGGCAAGTGGTTTTTTGATTGATTTTCTTTGCAAACAGGAGAGGACACGTTTCGGGTTGGGTCTAGAACAAATACTAAGTTGAAGGACTTTTTTCTCAAAGAAGTGCTTGGGTTGGTTCCGCCGGCCGTTCAGAGATGCGCTTGACTTTGAGACAGTGGGTAATTCATGATGCAAAAATCTAAATCTCAGATCCTGCTGGTGAAAATAACATTTCAGATGGCGTTTCAGGAAAGAACGCTGTAGGCTGATAATCCCCAAAGTCGATACCGGTCCCAAAGCCAACTTCTCGCGGTGGGGCCCCCGGGCTGGGTGCCCCATCGCTTGTGGGAACATTTTCCCCAGCGTTGCTTTTTGCCACTGAATGAACTTGACTCTTGAACTTCCGCACAGGAGATCGAGAGGTTGAATGAACGCCTGCAGGAAAAGGAGAGGGCAGCCCCCGCGCCGACGGAGCCCCCGGGCGGCCCGGAGGAGGAGCTCGCCCTGCTGCGGAGGAACGTGGCCGAGCAGGCGCGGGCCCGGGCCGTCGGCGACGTGCTGTGCCGCTCCCTGGCCAGTGAGGCCCACCAGCTGCGCAGGACGCTGGCCGCCACCGCCCACATGTGCCAGCAGCTGGCATGGTGCCTGGAGGAGAAGCAGCGAGCAGGCGGGGGCACGCGGACCCTGGACGAGGTGGGTGGCCTGGCTTCCTGCAACAGAGGGGGCAAGTGGGTGTCTTTACGGAGCTTCCTCGCTCGCAGTTTGGGGGCTGGGTCCAGCTTCCGGCGGCCGGCTGGCAGGGAGGTGCTGTCGGCTCTGGGGCACACCCTGGTCTCCCACCCTGTTCCTCTGCCCCTTGGTGGCCTTCCCGGGCCTCTGTGCACTGCTGTGTGGATCTGCGTTTCCTGCCTCTCAGAAGGGATGGCGTTTAGGGCCCACCCAGCACTGCTTTGGCCTCATTGACAGGACAGGAAAAACCCTGATCGCCAGCAGGCCCTGCCCACAGGAATGGGGGTGGGATGCCCACACAGATTTGGGGGGACACGGTTCAGTCCACCCCAGCAGGGATGAGTGGTCTCTGGGCCTGGTCCCTCTTCCGTGGTTCATCGATCGCTGACAGACATGGGCACCAGGGGGTCAGCAGAGTGGGGCACGGGGCACTGGGCATGGCTGCCCCATGCCGCCTGGCTGGCTGTGCGTCAGGGCACCTTGACCCCGCAGTCCCCACTGGGAGGAGAAGGAAGAGCCGGGGTGCTTCTTGAGGAGACTGGAGGCTGCCGGGAGTGCAGGGCCTCCAAGGCCCTACCTTGAGCAGTGCCAGGCACGGGTCAGAGGGGCTGTGTGTGGGCCCTGGGCGGGCCTGGTGTCTAAGCGGCCTGACAGCTGTGGCCTCCAGGCCTGGGAGCCCTGGGCCGCGCCCTCTCAGCCACACAGGGCACAGAGGTGCTGGGTACCAGATGGCCGTGGTTCCAGACAGATAGGGCCAGGCACTGTGGGGGCCGTGAAGTGTGCGTGACGGGCCTGCGAGCTGGGCCCCAGGATAGGTGGGTTTGGGCTGCGTGCTGAGGGCATGTGGGGCGTGGGGTTCAGCATCAGGAATTGCATAGGGTAGGGCCACGAGGGGACGCAGGAAACCAGGGGGCACCTGGGCAGGGGTGTTGGGAGCAGAAGGCACTAGGGGTCTAGGGCCGGGGGAGGGGAATGATGGGGTCATGGCCTCTGCGAGCCGAGCCGTTGTCCGTCTGTCTGTCTGCTCCCCATTGCCCCACCTGCCAGTGGGTTCACAGTCTGTGTTGGGCAGACGAGGAGGCATGAGGATCTAGGCCGGGTCGGGGGTGGGGTGGGGTGGGGGCCATGTCCCATGTACCATGTCCTGTTGGGGACAGCCTCCTGGGTCCCCACAGAGACAGGCTTGCTTGCTTTTTCTTTTTTAACTTTATTGTGATTTGGGTGAAAGTTTACAGAGCAAATTATTTTCCATACAGCGGTTCATACACATTCTGTTTCATGACGTTGCTGCAATTCCCCACAGTCTCCTCCCACTTCCTCCCTGTGGTTACCTTTTCCCTGTGTCCTTCTTCCCTATTAAGTCCTGCCCCCTGAGCTGTCTTCCTGTGAAAATCCTGCCCTTCTGTTCTCCCACGATTGATCGCTCCAAGGAGCTTATGTACCTGATGTTAATGTTCACCCCATGTGCCTGTCTGTTGCTTGTCTGGAAGCCACAGGAGTGAGTTCAGTTGCAGACCTGAAGGTTGGCTAGGGGCCATGTCTTGGGGGTCTCACTAGGCTCTATCAGGCCAGTAAACTTAGTCTTTATGATGATTTTGAGTTTTGTTCCACATGGTTCTCCCACTCGATCCAGGATCTCCTGCACTGATGCCCCTCTGAGTGGTTGACAGTGGTAGCCGGGCACCATCTAGTTCTTCTGGTCTCATGGTCATATAGGCTGAGGATCGCATGGTCTACCAGTCCCTTGGACTAATTGTTTCCATGTGTCTTTGTTTTTATTCTTTGATTGGGAGGAGGAGAGACCCATCACTGCATCTAGACGGCCACCTGCAAGCTTTTAAGACCCCAGTCGCTACTCACCCAAGTAGGATGTAGAACGATGTTTTTGTGTAGTGTGTTATGCCAATTGAACTTGATGTCCTCTGTGACCATGGTCCCCAACCCACAGGTCCAACTACTTGCTTCCTCAGGGTGGTTGGTTGTGGCCAAGAAATTATCATAACTTTGCGCCTTGTCAGCTCTGTTATGTATTTGGATGTTCTTACGGCACATCCAGATACGTCTGTAGAAATATCGGCTCCCAACCCTGTATATGGTCAGGGGTGTATTCCCTTTTGCCTAGACAGATCTGATCATTCAGCCTGCCCACCCATCTACTTACCTGTAGATTGTTATCACTGGTAACATGGTCATGTACATGTAGAAGGGTTTGTCTGTTGTCTGTACCTTCCGTGTACCTGTTTACTTCTTCCTCAGTGCCACCGTGTCAATCACTCACATTTGGGATGTTGCCTTTCCCTTCACCTGAAGCAGGACTTGTCTCTACCTGTCTAGCAGTGTTCCCTCCCCTCCCCAGTAACCAACAGAGAAAGTTTCCTTGCGTGTGTAAACTTTTCCCTGACTTTTTACAATAGTGAACTGATACAAGATAGGCTTTCTGACGAGAAGTTCTGGGAGCAGCCCACATGCCCTTCCTGTCAGAAAGTCCCCTCAGTCCCCTCCCTGTCAGCAGGGTGGCCTCAGTGCGACAGTTCTGTGAAAGGGGAACTTGGGGAGGGACAGAGTTTCCGTCCGGGGGAGGGTGTCCTGCTCGGTGGGTGTCACTGTGTGCCCTTTCCTGTGGGATTGACAAAGCCCACTGGTGGTGGGGACACTGTCCCCTCAGCGCTGGGTTGGCTGAGTCCCCGGGCGGTTTGTTAGGACTTGCTGCCTCTGTCCGTCCAGGAGCATTCTTGGAATTACTGTCACCGGTGGGCAGTCTCCTGCCTGCTGGTGTTGGCTGGCCTTCTAGGGCGCCAGTGTGCGTTCTCTGAACTGTCTCCTGTGCTGTGTTGCGAGGCTTGGCTCAGGTGTGGCTTAGGGGACCCTGTCCTCTGCTTTTACCATACAGCACAGGTTAGATGGCTGTGCCCGAGGATTACCACTGTAGACGGGACCGGGTCGTGGGCCTGAAGGGGGCAGGCAGGTCCCAGGTGGGATGATGCCATGCTGTAGGCTTTGCGGGTTGCCAGCTGTCATCACGGCCCTGACTCATGGCTCCCCCTGGGGCTTTCCAAGGCTGAATTTCCAGTAGTCCATTCAAGGTGCCTCTGAACCAAAAACCAAACGCACTACCATCGAGTCGCATCTGACTCATAGCGACCCCTCCTTGGGTTTCCGACACGGTATCACTACGGAAGTAGGATTGCCCAACCTTCATTCTCAGGAGTGGCTGGTGGGTCTGAACCGCCAGCCTTCTGGTTAGCAGTCAAGTGCCTTAGGCACTAGGCCACTCAAACCTCCAGCCTCTCCGTTTAGCAGCCGAGAGTGTGACCGTCTGTGGCACCCAGGGACCCTTCATAGCTTTGTTGGGGTTGGTGCTGTCGAGTTAATCTGACCCGTAGCGACCCCACGTGTGATGGGGTGGGACTGCTCCTAGGGCCCCCTCGGCAGTCATCCCATGGAACAGGTCACCCCGGCTCTTTCTCCCGTGCAGCGGCTGGTGGTTTGTGACCTTCCAGTTGGCGGCCAAGTGTGTTAGCCATTGGGCCACCCAAGGATCCTTCTGGCCTTGGGATGCTTAAATCTGGGAAGTTTAAAAGGCGGACAGCTCACACGTGGACAGAGACAGTGTCACGCCCAGGAGACCTTCCATCTAGGCCAGAGTCTGGGCCAGGCAGGGTGGGTGGTTGCAGGGTGACACCTGAGGCCTTCCCACCCCCGGCCCTCTGCTGGGCGACGTCAGGTTCCCTGTCATCTCGGCTTAGATGAACGATGGCCATGTGTCCCTACACCAGGTCCTCTGAAGACCTCAGACCCCAGCCTCCAGGCCGGGGGGTGATGTGCCCAGCACTGCTGCCTTGGGGCACGTGTGGCCGAGCGTGGTGACGCGGTAACTCCTCTGTCCCTTCCCCCGGCAGCCAGAGCACGCCAGCGGGGACGCCCCCGTCCAGGCTGAGGTTGAGAAGTTACAGGAAGAAAACCGGCAGCTGAAGGCCAAGGTCGCTCACGTGAGTCACCCCATTTCATCAGGCGGGGTGGCTGTCTGCTTTGCTGTGGGGGTGCCCTCCTGGCTGGTCTGCATGGTGCCAGGGGCCTGACCTTCCTGGATGTGTGGCCATACAGGACAGAACGCGATGCTCCCCGTACCCCATGATGCTCCCCGTGCCCCAGACATTCTGTGATGTGAAGGGGGCACAGGCCCTGCTCGGGGGGTGGCTTACTTCTGGGGGGCGTCGTGGTGGGTCTGCTTCAGTCCCAGAGCATTGCTGTGGGGGTTGCTACGTGGAGCGGCACCCACTGAGGGGTCCTGACAGTCCCCTCCTGCCCGTGGGCTGCCCCCCCAGGTGGAGGACCTTAACGCCAGGTGGCAGCGGTATGACGCCGGCCGGGAGAAGTACGTGCGGGCGCTGCAGGCCCAACTGCGGGGACTGCAGGGCCTGTGCCAGCCCGAGGGGCCCTCCACGGCCCCGCTCCTGAGGAAGGAGATCTCCAGGCTCAACCAGCAGCTGGAGGAGACACTTGACAAGTGCGTGGAGGCCCGGCGGGAGCTGGCGGCCACGCGGGGAGCCTACGACGCTGTGATGGAGCGGGCACAGATGCTGGAGCAGCAGGTCCGCGTGGGGCCCGGGGCGCCGCGGGCGCGATGCCGGCACAGTCCACGTGGGGCCTGGGGGCAGCGATGGGCCCTGGGGCCCTGGGGCGCTGCCGGGGGCACGGATGCCGGCACAGTCCGCGTGGGGCCTGGGGGCGGCGCTGGACACCCGGCCAGCTGAGAGGGGCCCAGGGCACCGCTGCAGGGCAGGTACTGACCCCGCAGCTAGAAGGGCAGGCAGGAGGGGTGGGACGGTCCGCTCCTGAGCAGATGCCGTGGTGGTCGCAGCGGGGACCCACTGTCCTGTCTTCCTGCAGATCCTCGTGTACAAGGACGACTTCTCATCGGAGCGGGCGGACCGGGAGCGCGCTCAGAGCAGGATCCAGGAGCTCCAGAGCATGGTGGCCGCCCTGCAGTGTCAGCTGCCTCGGGGACAGGTGGGCCTCGTGGCAGCAACACGCTCCTGCTTGCTGTTCTTTGCACGCATGTCATGCTTTTCTGAGTTGGCTCAGCTCGTTTGCAGCGTGAGGGTGTCAGGAGGGTCCCTCAGCTCCGGGCTGTACCTGCCACCCGTGCCTGTGTGTCCCAGGTGCCTACCCGAGGCTGAGGTAGGCGGGGTGGGTGTGTGGATGGAGGAGCGTGCGTGCTGCACGCGGGTCGCAGCCCGTGGGCACTGAGGGTGCTGAGGGCCCAGCCACTCGCAGGGACGTGTTCACAGCCGGCTCACGAGCACCTCCTGGGAGCCCTGGAGCGAGGGGCTCACTGCTGCTGTGGGGTGGGTGCGAGTTGGCCCTCTCCCCCTAGGATGGTCCCCACCTTCCCTCCCCGGTCTCCCTGCCCTGGGCCAGGAGGGCCCACGGCAGCAGCCGTCACTTCTCATGGGTGAGGTGGGGGGGCATGGCGGGCTTGTGTCCCCCAAGCCACCAGGTTCATAAAGAGGTGCCCACCTGACTGCACAGGTGCCCCTACCCAGACCCCTACCCATTGCTGCCCCCACTGCCTGGCAGCCTCGGGAGTCTGGCCGTGTCCTTGGGCCCTCCTGGAGTAGGTGAGAACCCAGGCCTGGACAGTGGGGTCTCTGGCCTTTGTGGCCACCAGGAGGCCATGGCCCTGGATGGAGGCCGTACGGGTGGCCTCGTGGCTCAGGCCACAGAAGCTACTAGAGTCAAGATGCTCCCGGCTGACTCCCCAGCTGCTATGGTCCCTGGGCCTGTGGGTGTCCTGCAGGTGTCCTGCAGGTGTTGTGGAACACCTGCTGTGTGCGTGGCCCCAGGGTGGGGTGTCGACCACACCAGGGCAGCAGGACTGTAGGCACGGGTAGCAGTGTCAAGAACGCCCTGTGAGCAGGTGCAGGACCAGGTGGCAGGAGTCTCTGGGCCCCCACAGTGGGGCGTGTCCTGGGGCTGGTGTCCCTCGGGTGGGAGTGGGGGTCCCCCGTGGACTGTCCCTCATTCTGGGGCTTGTGGAGAATGCACATGGCTTTACCCGACACGTGGAATGCTCCACTCACCAGTACCGCCAGGCCCTGGGTCCTGGGGCCCAGGGGACACAGCTGGAGCACGTTGTGAACAGTGCACCTGCCTCGCGGGCCCCCCACCGCTGGGTCAGTGGTTCTGGCCTCTCTTGCAGGACACCAGGGAGCCAAACCAGACCTGCCCCATGAGCAGCTCGCCCAAGGATTTGGAGACGGATGCCCCAAGCCCAGTGGGGCTGGGGTCCCCGCGGCTGGAGGCCCTCGCAGTGGGTGGGTGCCCCGACACAGACCCCAGGGGCCAAGGGGACCTCCAGTGTCCCCACTGCCTGCAGTACTTCAGTGACGAGCAAGGGGAGGAGCTGTTCAGGCACGTGGCTGAGTGCTGCCAGTGAGTCTGCGTCCCCGCTATCTGTCCCACTGCTGTCCACGTGGCCACCGTCCACAGGTGCTCCAGGCCAGCCACGCCTATGCCCACCCACCGTGCACCCACTCGTGTGCCCACAGGTCTGCCACTCTCTGTCCCTGTGCCCTTCGTGTGCCTGTCTGGGCCATTCTCTGCCCATGTTGGCTCAGTGTGGCCATCCCATGTACAAAGTGGGAGTGCTTGGCACACAGTGGGTGGCGCTCTGTCAAGACCTGGGTTCCCTGACGGGGTGGGGGCTCTTGGAAGTGGCCAGTTGTGGGGTGAGCTGCCTGTGGTGTGGAAAGTCCAGGCCAGACTGGGTTTGGGCCTGGCAGCCATGGGTGGGGACCTGCCCCACAGACACGCAGGGTCCTACAGTGGAAGCCCAGCCTGTCTGCAGGACACACAGGAATGTGGCAGTGGGTAGGGCCAGCCATCGCGGCCACCTCATCTGTGCCGAGTGCTGCGGGCAGTTGCTCCTTCCCTATGCCTAGAAGTTACAACTCTGTGCCCCTTCACTTATTTTTGTATAAGATGTCCTGGTGGTGACTGGGCTATGGGGTCCACAGGGGTCTCCCTATTTTCCCAGGTGCTGGGCTTGCCCACCTGTCCAGGCCGCCATGATGGTCAGCCAGAGCGACCAGCTTGCTGTTCAGGGGTCGCCTGGGCATGGGGGCAGGAGCTCAATATTTAGGCTTTTCTGCTTTTACTGATCCACGGAGGCAGCAAATTCCTGCCCTCGAGACCTTTGCTCCAGGCAGAACTTGGGGGACAGAAGGACGGAGGTTCACGTGCGGGTGGTCCTGGATGTTGGGGAACTGCATCTGTTCCTGGAGGGCCAGGGGACCTGGTCAGGGCTGGTGTGGGCCCCACGCAGTGGCCTTGGGGACATGGAGCAGCACCAGCCCATGGCCCCAGGGCCCACCTGTGTCCATTCCAGTCAGGCCATGAAGAGACAGGAGGGGTGGAGAGGACAGATCTCTGAGCTCCTGAGTGTCCGACGGCCTGACTGGGATTGTGCACCCCCGCTTCCCCTTTTGCTCCAGAGCACGGGCCATCCCTCCCTGGGCACTTGCTGGTGCCAGCTCAGGGCGACACTCTGGTGATGACACGCCACCCTACAGTGTCAGCGAGAGTCCCTGTCCGCATCTTGATGATGACAGACGTGGAGAGGCCACGGGTTTCAGAGTCTCCCCAGCCATGTAGCCAGCACTGCTAGGAACGGGCAGCTCTGCCGGGGTGTGGTTGAGGACTCCAGGCTATCTGGTTGGAGACCCCCAGGGTGGCTGGGAGGGCAGAAAAACTCCTGCATTGATTGAAGATGCACTAAGGAAGCACACTGCAATCTGTAGTGTACTAAAACAGTAATAAAAATTACTAAAAATTTGATGTAAAAATATTTAATAATGTTTTTTTTTATTCATCCAAAGCAAGGCAAGGTAGGAGAAACAAAGGAATAAAGAAAAGATGAAACAAATAGAAAATAAATGGCAGATTAGTAGACAAACCCAATTATCAGTAATTACATTAAATATAAATGGACCAAACACTCCCATTTAAAGACAGAGATTGTCAAACTGGATAACAGTAAGACAGACCCAACTGTACCCATTGCAAAAGATACACCTTTTGAAAGGTAAGGACATACAAAGGATGGAAAGGATGAAAAACAATACAAAAGTCAAGCCAACACTAACCAAGAAAATAGATTTTATTAAGAAGAGTGTGGCATCAGGATTGGAGGAAGACTTATTAAGAACCTCCAATATGCAGGTAACACAACAGTGCTTGCTGAAGTGAAGAGGACTTGAAGCATTTACTGATGAAGATCAAAGTCTACAGTCTGCAGTATGGACTGCACCTCAGCATGAAGAAAACAAGAATCCTCACAACTGGGCCATTGAGCAACATCACGATAAAAGGAGAAAAGACTGAAGTTGTCAGGGATTTCATTTTTTTGGATCCACCATCAACACCCATGGAAGCAGCAGTCAAGATATCAGACAAGTATTGCACAGGGCAAATCTGCTGTGAAAGACTACTTGAAAGCATTAAAGAACAGAGACACGTCACCTTGAAGACTTAAGGTGCACCCAATCCAAGCCATGGTTATTTTCACTCACCCTCCTGTGTATGTGAAAGCTGGACAGTGAATAAGGAAGACTGAAGAATTGGTGCCTTTGAATTGTGCTGCTGGCGAATACTGGAAATACCTCGACTGCCGGAAGAACGGACGCACCTGTCCTGGAGTAAGTATGGCCAGAACACTCCTTGGAAGTGAAAACGGCCAGGCTTCACCCCACACTTTGGTCGTGTGGTCAGCAGGACCAGACCCTGGAGGGGGGGTCTCGTGTTTGGTAAAGTAGAGGGCCAGTGGAGAAGCAGACGATCTCAAGAAGATGGCCCCTAACACCACGTGATTACCAGGCAGCGTGGACTGTAAGTCAGAACTCCTGCCAGCCATGAGATACTGTGGAACAATACAAAGGTCAACTTAATAGTAACATGCACCAGTCCTACCCATGTGTGGTGCTGTTAGGTCCAGCTCCTACTCAGCCACCCCACGTACAACAGGATGGAACACGACTTGGTCCTGCACCAAGCTCTTATCAGTGCCATGATGGAGCCCATAGTTGCACCTACATTGCTGATCTCTGGTGGTGCAGTGCCTAAGGCATCTGACTGCTAACCAGAAGGCTGGCAGTTCAAACCCACCAGCCACTCCTCGGAAGGAAGGTTGGGCAATCTGCATCCATATTGATACCACCTCAGAAACCCAAGGAGGGGTTGCTATGAATCGGGTCCAGCTCGACGGCACGTGAGGACATCCTGCTCCATCTCGTTGAGGGCCTTCCCCTTTTTCACTGACCCTCCACTTCACCAAACACAGACCTTTCTCCAGGGACTGGTTCCTCCTGACAACATGACCAAAGGACAAGAGACAAAGTCTGGCCATTCTCGCTTCTAAGGAGCATGCAGATGTACTTCTTCCAAGGCAGATTTGTTCGTTCTAGCTTTCCATGGTGTATTCTTTGCTAACATGACAATTTGAATGTATCACATTCTTCTTTGATCTTCCTTATTCATTGTCCAGCTTTCACAAGCACATGAGGTGACTGGAAAGAATGGCTCGGGTCAGGTGCAACTTAGTCTTCTAAGTGACACCTTTGCTGTTTAACATTTTGAAGACATCTTCTGCAGCTGATAGGCCAAATGCAATGTCCTTTGATTTCTTGACGGCAGCTTCCGTGATTGTGTGTCCAAGTAAAATGAAATCCTTGATAACTTCAGCTTTTTTCCACTTATCATGATGTTGCTTCTTGGTCCAGTTGTGAGGATTTTTGTCTAATGTTCCACACTGAAGGCTGTAGTCTTTGAACTTCATCAGTAAGTGTTTGGAGCAAGGGTGCTAGGAGCTGGAATTGACTTGATGGCAGCGGACTGACGGTAGTTTGGGTTTCTGAGATGCTGCCACTCTCTTTGCCACGTATCCCACTCTGTATTCCCACCAGCAGTGGGTAATGGTTCCAGTGCCCCCACGTCCATGCCAACATTTACTTAACCTTCTTCAAAACCTTTGCCATCCTTGTGGGAGTAAGATGGCATCTCTCTGATGGCTAATGACACTGAGCATCTTTGCATGTGTTTGGTGGCCATTTGCCCTTTTTGGCAAATTGCCTATTCAAGTCCTTTGCCCATTTTACTGAAAATCACACCCAACCCAACCCACTTCCACTGAGTCGATTCCAACTAACAGTGTCCCACGTTGGGTTACCAAGGCTATAAATTACACAAGTAGATCCCCTCATCCCCTTTGTGTGGAGCACTGGGAATTTAAACTGACTGGGTCGTCTTTTTGCTATTGTCCAACTTCATATATATCTTGGTTATTAGATTCTTACTGGATATACAGTTTCTAGGAGCTCTGGTGGTGTAGTGCCTAAGGCATTTGACTGCTAACCAGAAGGCTGGTGGTTCAAATCCCCCAGCCACTTCTCGGAAGACTGGGCAATCTACTTCTATAGAGAGATAGCCTTGGAAACCCAAGGAGGGGTCACTATGAGTCAAATCGACTCAACGGCAGTGAATTTGGTTTTTTATATGGTTTCGAAACATACTTTCCCAGTTGGTAGCTTATCTTTTCAGTTTTTAAGTAAAATCTATAAAGAAATCTTAACTTTTTTGAGGTCCTATTTAGTTTGTCTTGCATTTATTAGATAATTCATTGTTAAAAGTTAGGCCTGACAGTGTTACCCCTGCGTTTTCCTTTAAGCATTTTATGGTTTTAGTTTGCACGTTTAGGTTCTTAATCCATTCTGAATGTGTGTTTATACGTGGTGTGAGGCATAGTGTTCTGGTTCCCCAGTGCTGCTCTGACAGGAGTATACCACAAATGGGACGTCCTTAACAAACAGGAGTTTATTCTCTCAGTTTGGAGGCTTTAAGTCTGAGTTCAAAGTGCCAGGCTCTAGGGGCTGGGTGAAAGCCCCTCAACCTTGGGGTCCAGCTTTGCCTCCTGCTCCCGGCCCACTGAAGCTGGAGGCTTTTCTTCACTCAGACAGCTGCTGGCTGCTGAGACTGACAAGCCCAAGGTTGACAAGTAAAAAGGCATGTCCCCATGTTACCAAACCACATGGCAGGCCATTAATTTAAGTCCATTGTAAGTGCCAAGGTTGGCAGAGCATGGCAGGCTGCTGAACAACAACATGGCTACATGCAGGGTCCAAGCGTGCCATAAGCTAGAGACCATTCCCAAGGCTTCTACTTATACACAGGAAGCAGACCACATCCCTAAAGCAGCTACTCAGTTGCTTGTGGTAGATCCCACCATGGAGCCAATTGCCAGTCTCGTCATGGGGACTAACTACCACCAGCTGCCCAACCACTTAACCAGGCCCAGCCAAGGTGACATACAACTTTTAACTACCGCACATGGATCCTGGTTCACTCTCCACACATGGAAACCCAGTTTTCCCAGTAGCATTTTTT